AGATGCTTTGGAGCAGGAGGGGCGAGTAGCTCGTATAGTTTTGGAGGAAAATACTTCCGGGGAGTGGCGTGAAGATCAGTTGGAGGATTCGGCTGTGTCGGTCGTTTTGCTAGGAAAAGAGAGGGACAGACGTCCTTCGTGGGAGGAGATTTCAGCTAGAGGCCCTTCTTCAAGAATTTACTGGTCCCATTGGGACGCTTTAGTCGTTGTGAATGGAGTTTTACATAAGAAGTAAGTGGCACCGGGTTTGAAATCTAGTTTTCTTCAAGTTATCGTTCCTCGGAAGAGGGTGAAGCGGATTTTAGAGGAGGCTCATGATGCTCTTTCTGGGGGGCATTTCGGGGTGAATAAGACGCTAGAAAAAGTTTGTAGGCGGTTCTATTGGGCTTCGTGTAAGAAGGATGTAGAGAATTGGTGTAAATCTTGCGGANTTTGTGTCGCGAAGAAAGGTCCTTCGGATAAGGGGAAATCTTCGTTGCAGATCTTTAATGCTGGTGCACCTTTTGAGAGATTACAGATGGACGTTCTGGGTCCTTTTCCAGCGTCTTCTTCAAGAAATAAATATCTTCTTGTGGTTGTAGACTGTTTTACCAAGTGGGTGGAGGCTTTTCCTTTGAAGAATATTAGAGCGTCGACCGTTGCGGAAGTCTTTGTTAATCAGGTGGTTTCCAGGTTTAGTGTGCCGTTGGAGTTGCATACGGATCAGGGGAAAAATTTTGAGTCTCGGCTTTTTCAGAAGCTATCGTGGTTGTCGGAGATAAAGAAGACGAGGACTACTGCTCTTCACCCGCAGTCGGATGGGCAGGTTGAAAGGCAGCATCAGACGATACTACAGTACTTGTCTAAATTTATTGATGAGAATCAGAGGAANTGGGATCGTTGGGTATCTATGTTCCTGTTTGCTTATAGGTCTTCTAGGCATGAGACTACGGGAGCTACTCCGGCTGAGTTGAGTTTCGGTCGAGATCTGCGTTTACCGTTAGATTTGTTGCGAGGTACTCCGCCGAATTATTGTTCGGATTCTTCAGAGGATTATATTCAGGAGTTGGGGGCGAAATTGGAGGAAATTCATTAGGGTGTTAGGGAGCGATTGGCGTTGAAGTCGAATAAGGCGAAGGTTCGTTATGATCGTAAAGCCAGACATATCCTATTTAATGAGGGGCAGAAGGTTTGGTTTTTCAATCCTCGNAGAAGCAAGGGTAAAGCTCCTAAATTGCAGAGGAGTTGGGAAGGGCCGTTCGTGGTTGTTAAAAAGTTAAGCGACGTAGTTTATTGCATACGTCGCTCGGGAAAGCATAAGTGTANTATTGCATACGTCGCTCGGGAAAGCATAAGTGTAAGGTGGTGCACGCTGATAGATTGGCTTTGTTTTGCGAGAGGTGGGAACACGCGTCGAAGCCCTGTGAGAATTAGTGGATATTGGTTTTTTTTTGTTTAAGATGTTACGGATATTTGTTTATTTCTTTATTTGTTGTTGTGTTAATTGAGCTTGGTTACTCGTTTTCTTTTCTTTAATTCCAGCGTTTACTCCGTTGCTACCTTGAATCTTTCCGTTTCGTCGTTAGACGTCGGGGGATTTTTGCTTCGCATCAAGTCGTCGCGAGATCTTCGTGTTTTGAACGCCGTACTAGAAGTCCGCCTTACTCACGGTTTTGAGCGTGGTTTTCCGTGGGTCTTGGGGCAAATGCCGAGGCGGGGATCTGGGGTGTCCTTTCGGACGATGGGTCCACGTGAGTTTCCCCTCCCTCTTGTCCGAAGTCGGAAGAATTTTGTGGACAAAATTGCTCCAAAGGAGATTCTCGGTCAAGAGTTTCTCCGGTCAACTGGCTCATGTATTCTGGGACAGCAGTCTAGAAGAGAGCGGGAAGGTTGACTTCTTTTGTTGGATCATCGGGACGATGATCTAGAAGAGAGAGGGGGCAGTGTTGCGGGATGCGGCACGCAGTATATGAAGATTTTCGACGATCGATCGCTTGGGCGTCTTTTTGTTCTGGTAGCAACGGGGTTTGTTGACAGCGAGGTTCATGAGAGTGAGCTGCCGGATTCGGAATCGTCGACAGACTGGAACATCGGCTCGAGATTCCTTTACGTTTTCCGCGACTTATTGTAACGCGTTTTCCAATAAAGATCTAGTGTGTTATACGCGGTGTTTCCTTTTCTTTCCGCGGAGCGCGACAACACGGCGGTAACGTGATCTAACGCGGCCGTGAGTGCAACATTAGCAACAATACATAAACAAAATAAATATTTTTTGTGTCTGAATATGTGCACATTTTTTGATTATATGAAATAGTAATAAATTAGTTTTTGTTTTAGAAACATATGAAAAGGGACTGGTAAAATTAAAGAAAGCAGAATTTATATCAGATATAAATTCAGAGAGTGATGTTTCTGAAGATTTGAAAAAATCTCGAAAGGACAGAGCTAAGAGAACAATATCAAGCAGTGACGATGCTACTGATAATGAAGAAATTCAATTACCACCTTTTCCTAAGATTCCACAAACTACATATAACAAAAAATTAAAAAATGATAAAGTTAAGCAGCAGTTAACAGGTAAATAAACAGAACAGTTGACAGATATTTTTTATACATAATACTTTTAATAACTTCATACATATTTTGAAACACAGAAAACGTTACAACTATCAACAAAAAAAAAGACACAGAGAAATCGTCAATGAATACTAATTTATCTACACTGATGAAGAAGAAAGAAATACATTATAATTTAGTTGACANTAATGAAGGTATTTATACTAGTAACAATGAAGATAATTTATACAATAAAGTAGTCAAATATTATTTTTTTAATATATTAGTTTGTTTTTCTAATTTTTTTTATAGAAACAAACTATGATAAAAATGAAGATATTTTATATAATAACAAATGTTTCGATAACTTTTATAAAAGTAGTAGCGACGCTAGTTCATGTAAGTATTGTTCTATACTTAAAGAAATNGTTGTTTAGTTTTTATTTTAATCAGTTTTTCTTTATTTTACATCTTTAACAAGTTTCGATTTTCAACGTTATATGATAAGAAAACTCACTGACATAGGATTTTAAATATCTTCATTAGATGAACAACAAAAACTTTTTAATAATAAATTAAATACTATGTTACAACGTATTGAAACATTTTACACAAATGAGAAAACTCAGCAAAAGGAAATTGAAGACCATCTAATGAAAAATTTTCCAATTGATAGCATTGAAGATTCAGAACAATTCGAAAAATTGCTAATTGAAGGTTCTATTAATCAAGAACTAGTGAGTATATTTTAATAAGAGTATATTTTAATAAGAGTCAAATAATTATATAAAAATGTATTTTATTTTTTTAAGTAAGTAATAATTATATTTTTTATATTATTATAATTATATATATTAACTTTTTTATAGATCAAACAGTTGTCACGTATTGGTGGAAATGATATTAAAGGAGTGACATTTAATCTTCTACGTAAACTAATGTCTGATAAAGTAGCTAGCAAGTTTAGTTATATTGGAGGTAAAAAAAAGCGAGTTTTTTATGACTTACAGTTACGGAAAATTATATTTAGTAAGTAAATATTTCAAATACTTTAATTAATCTATTATTAATATACATATATATACCCTTACGGAAAAAACGTTTAACTATTGACCGTAACGTACAAAATCACGTTCAACTTGACCGTAAACGCTCAAAATTGAACGTATAACGTTGAATATGGAAATATTACGGTCAAGTTNAACGTGTTTCGTACTTTACGGTAAATAGTTAACGTTTTTTTTGTAAGAGTATATTATATATATATTAATAATAATATATGTATATACATATATATACAGTAAATAGTATGTAAATACAATTCTTTTTTTTAGATGTTATACGAAATCATTTTGCNGAAGCAACAGAACACTGTGTTGCAGAGCCAATTAAATCTTGGTTGCGNCATGCCAATGAACGTTATTTACAAAAAAATTAGTAAATTTGAAATATATATTACGAAATGCGAATATATATAGTATATATATTAATGTAATAAGTTTAATGTAATTGTTTTTATTTGCAGCAAAGAAGTTAAAAGTAAATCTGGAATGGACAATGAAAAATAAAATAAGTTCTTTGTTTTCTTTAAATTCATAATAACTTGAATACCGAATGCGATTAAAAATAAGATTGGTGAAAAAATGTCGGAGTGTTAAATCGATCATCTTAACGCTGTGCGTAGAGAATTTTAGTTTATTTATTTTTTATATAAAAAACGATTGTACGTACATAACTTTTTTTAAACTTCTTTAAAATGTGCATTATCTATAGATATAGCTGTATCATAGAAATGTTGAATGTTGTAAAATGTTAAACATTAATATATTTTATATCTAATTATTTTAGTTAGTAATTTCTGACTGCAATATATCGTTCGTACAAAACTATAAATATTGATAGCAGTGTATGTTTTTATTTTNCACTATAATAACTTTTTTAATTTAGAAATATAGTATATTTGAACACTTTGATATTCCAATTGTTAAAATCAACAAACTTCCATATATTTATTTCTTTTTTGCAATAAAGTTTATGCTACAAAGGTTTGCAATAAAATTAACGATTTACTATCCTCTGTGCGTGTGTGTGTGTGTGTGTGTGTGTGTGTGTACAAACTATTTTGTGTATACTAATAGTTTTTGAAGAAAAAGTTTAGATTTATACATCTAAACTTTTTCTTCGAGAAATATTAGTATACAAAAAATGCTTCTTATATCCTGTAAAAGTCTTTGTGATGACAAATCCTTGAACAGTCCTATATAATATCCTAAGGATAATTTAGGGACTAAACAGGGCGCTCATTTGCTCTTCCTCAGGACATCCAGAGAAGATCCTGGGATTAAAATAGGATATCCACAGGATATCTGTTTCGTCCGTATAAGATGTCCTTTGGATTTTCAGAGGACATCCATGTGCTATTTGGGTTATTAGTTTGGCAACTTTGGAGCCTTAAAATGATTCTTTAAAAATATCACTCTTGTTTAATAGAGTTGGAGAAATTGAAGATCGAAAACGTGTGAATGAACCTCAGCAAGAGAAAAAACAAGTTAAAACGCGTCCTGTGTCTGACACCTTTAGTGGAAGTCAGAACAAAAGCCCGCCATACTTAGTAGCGTTTTTACTAATAAGTAAACAAGACGTAGTACCTGTGTGGTCAAATGGAAGTATAGAACGATGTCCTAAGTGAGGAGATTACGTAAGATGCTATGAAAAGTTATACTCAAGTGCACAATTGCCGGAGTATGGAATATCAATTAATTATCTAGTTAGGACTCAAGAAAAGATCGACCTGCTCCTTGAAAAAAAGTCCATAAAAAGCGGCGTACGGGAAAGCATCAGTGAGCACAACATCAACACCCCATCATCTGAAGAAGTGCTAGGAATAGCTACGAAAAAGAACGGTTAAAGCCTAGACGAGGAAACTCCGGGTAGCCAACACAGCCAAAGCGGACAGAGTGACAAATTAACAGATACATTTGTTATAATTTAACCGGATCCGCTGTCCTGTCACACTTTGCGACGTTAAAATCTAACATTTTTTTGTTACAACGCGTGTTTTTTAGTTTACCGGTTAACAATCAAGTCAACTTTTTTGAAGATCAGGTAATCTGGGGTAATTTGAATCGGATTGTTTTGAATCTAGATCATGAATTCACATCCGTACTTGATCATGACAACATAGAGGTCGATCCTTTGTTCCCGACGCGAACTTACACTGTGACCGGAATTTTAATCATTTTTAATTATAGTACTCACTTATTTCAAGTTCCACGGTTGCCAGGTGCTTAATTTGGAACGTACTAGCACCATCGTACACTCTTTCCTCTTGATGCGTCGTATTTGCTTTTATTTTCAGGTTACAACCCGAGGATAAAAATGTCCAGAAAAAGTAAGTACTACACTCACTTTTATCACGTAAGTATAATTTTAGAATATATATTTTCAGAAAGTTTACATAACTGTTTAATATATCACTAACGCTAATGATATTAATATGCTCGGATAGCATATTCTAGCGATTTCGAGTGCTAAAACCTTTTTTATTCGCGACGTTTATGTTTAACGCATGTTGCGTTCTCGAAAGTTCGTAGATTACTCTCCACTCTCTCCTTATTTTTGTTCGCGCAAGTTTCTTAAGCCGCACTTGCAGCTTGCGCGAGCAAGACCCTCAATCAGGTATATTCAGGGGTTAGCCGTTCTAATCAGAAAAGAGAATATGATTATTGTCTTTTCTGGTTGTCATTCTGTACTTTTTGACTTGTGTGCGTGTTGTACGCGCCATTGCAGCTAACGTTCCACCGTTTCAAAAATCTAGTGGAAATTCCCTAGGTTTCCGAAATCGTGGTTTTATGATGAAATACTTTTTTTTATCAGTTCCAAAACGTTTTTCAATTAACACCTTGACGCCGGGCCCTTTTGAAGCAGACTTTACGCGGAACCGGTGAAGATTCGTGAAATGTAGGGCAATTGCAATATTTTAGAAAAACTGTTATAACTTTTGAACCACTTAATATTTTTTAATGAAATTTTGAAGAAACAGAGAGATTACTTTTTTGCATAAGAATTGATACTTTTTAAATCAATCAATCGCTCGTGAAATAGTCAAAAATATTTAAACTAAAGGCCGATACGAGCATTAAAATACAGGTTGGTCGTGTATANTAAGTTGTCTTTATTCAATAAATATAGACGTTTCGGTCACACAATTTTTGACCTTCTTCAGTATGAAAATTAAGTCTAACAAGAGAAAATAAAAAAATTACAATCAATA